AGCATGCGATCCCTAGATACCCAACTAAATAAATTTCAAAATTGTTTATTTTCTTCCAAACAAATCAGCGTGCATTAAAAACAGCGAGCAGAAGATTTTAAATCCAAATAAAACATTAACATCCGGTGGGAATCGAACGGTCCCAACTCATGCCGCCTTTCCTCCCATTGTGCCCACTGTGCGTGGGTGGTGTTGCTGCCATTGTTGCTGTGGGTGGTGGTGGAGGGAGTGGGTTCACCTTTGAAGTGGGGATTTACAGGTGTTTTATCTGCCAGTCTGTTTGTTTACAAAGGTCATGAGTTCCCAGACGAATGTAACTAAATTAAACTTTCTGGCAAGCCAAGCCACAATAAACACGGCAGCTGTTTTAGGGCACACATCATAACGAAAATATAACAACTTTTCCAGGACATACGGGGATTCCTCTCCGGATAACCACATTAAAGACCAACTATATTGCTACTTATAATGGAGAGCTTCACCAGTACTGTGTGACCCATATCATAATCGAACCGCAGCCCGTCATTTTCTTATTCATGTTCCACTTACTTCAGAAATTTGCATAGGGCTGGAAATTTGAAAACAAAAACACAATGGCATTTTGATGATAATTCCCCCACAAGCGAGTCTATTTATCAGTCTGGTGCTGTGGTTGCTTGGCTGGTGTTTCACCTTTCCTTAAGCAATTTAATAATGAAAAAAGAATAAAAGCAATTGCACACTGGGAATGAAGAGAAGTGAACATTCTACTGATTCAGAATAAATTCCGAAATTTCGGGGAGACTGTGTTTGCCAAGTGCAACAAACAGAAAAGCCCCGTCAAAAATTCGCATTTGATTTATTTATAAAGCCATGATGACGTCGCCATATCGGATCGAACCGGGTATAGTCTGCTTATTTTTCGGGTCTGTTTGCGAGCACGAGCGTCTCCCACCGAGGAAATTATAAAATATTGCAGGGGGATTGGTTTGGGGTTAAGTTGTGGATGCTGGATGCTGGAATGAATTTCCTGCGCTAAAACGTTTAATTTATTAATGAGATTTATTTATAGAGCGCTGAGTGGGCAGGTGAAAGGTTGCCGATTGGTGTGGTGGGGTTTTGGCCAGCTACGCGTGCCTGAAAATGCGAGAGCGAGGCAGGGTGGTCAGGGGTGGGGCCCCACTGCTTTCCCTCTCTGTTCCTCATCACGATGACGCGTGGTTATTGTAATTAAAGTTATGTGCGATATGTGCTGTGCTGCCACTTTTATACACTTGTGTTCACCGCACACTCCCTACCCCTCCCTCCTCCCCACTCCTCCACAAGTCACCCAAATTTCCTTTCGGCTTTTTAATGGCGCCTGGGTGCGGTCCACAAAAATAATTTACAACGTGTTGTTTTGCTTGTTTCTGTTTTGGTTGTTGTTATTGTTGGAGGGTGAGGGGCGGACGGGTAGGAGTTGGGGGTGTTGGCGGGGTTGGGGGAGTGGGGCAATTGAAGTGGAAGAGGCGGCCAATATACGGCAAGATAATGACAGCATTATGGCAGAACAACGAGCATATGGCGAGCGAGGAAAGAATTGTGGTAGGAAACAGAGTCAAATATTTCCTTACAACTTTGTAGAAGCTATGGATTGTTTTTAGGCAGGACTTCAAAGTATTGATACTAAGTATATGCACAATATTATCTATGAGACAACTGGAAACATAGAACTTGATTCACCAAATTTTTCGAATGTACATATACAATTTAGTTTTCAACATTTTCAACGGATTACAACAATTGGGGTGAATAAATTTTTGCTTAATATACGATAGTCTAGCAAGTGGCATTATACTCTAAAAACAGTGCATACATATGTATGCACATATGTGATCAAAATAGAATATATGGCGATTCTCCGAAGAGAACGAAAGAGTTTTGAACTCCTCTCCGGGGATTATCTCTTGACCCGCCCCCCTGCTCCTGGCTCTCGAAGCCACCAGCGTCTCTCCTAACCCCTCTTAACCCCTGAGCGCCTGATAAGCGGCACTGATTAGCTCAGCACAGAGGCAAGGTAATGAGATCACTCCCACCGATCGATTAGGACCACTCCGCCCTCCCTCTATCCTCTGCCGGCCGCCCAGAGCTGAGCCCGCCACCCCCCTGGGAATCAATAGCTGAGATTACGGCATCTCAAAGCTTGGAGACGATCCGTTCATCCAAAGAGAGAAAGAGAGCGGGCACCTGCCATCGTTCTTAGTGCGTTGTTATTCAATATTTTTTAGCTTGCGTTCTTAGCTTTTGATTCATTGGCCTGCGCACGCACACTCACGCAACTTTTTTGTTCCTTATTTGACAGGTTAATAGATTTAAACACATTTGATTACCTGAGCGAGAGAGGAGCCCAAAAGCGGAGCTTTTCCGGAGCGAGCGAGAGAGCGACACTCTGTTATGAAGTAATAATGGAGAAAAAACAACCGTATTCACGCAATTGTTGTTGTTTTGCAATAAGTTCGGCAATACGGTTCGGCGAAATGTTGCGCGAATTCTTATTGATGCTCTTGCTGCTTTGGTTATTTTTGTTGCTGCAGCATCACTTAGCAAAGACAACAAATAGCAAAGTCACACGCTGCGGTTTTTTTGTTTTTTTTTTTTCATTTCTATCACGCGGCACTATAGCTTTGATTTATTGTCTTTCCCGCTTGCACTTCTAAATTACAATCCAAAGCGATGAAACGCCTCAGAGATGTGTCAACAATTCAAAAAAAAAACAAACCCGAAAGCCTAAATAACGCGACGACGAGTAAAAAATGCTGCCACTGCCGCAGCGCTGCCCGAAAATCTGTTGATTAGTGTGACCGCAGCCTGCAAACAAGGAAAATACCAAATGGGTCTGCTAGTTCAGCTGTTCTGCCATTACCGGGCCTTTTTGTATTTGTTGTAATCCGATTTGGGTGAACATTGCAATTGCCTTTGAGTTATGGCTAAGGACACTTATTGCAATTGCTCACGTCTTTGAAATACGTTGTTTTATGATTAATACTTTAGTAATAAGCGCCACATTACAAATCGAAGCAAGAGTTGGCAGCACTGCTTAGCACTATTAAATGCTGCCAGCTACAATTCACACTTGAGCGGGCTTTTCAAATAGTTTTTATTCACTGCACAATAACTAAACCATAAAACTTACGTAAACAGCATTTAACAAATGTTACTGTTATCTGAGCAGGTTCGTCCAATACGCCAATATTTTTTGAAAAGTATGCTTAACATTCAATTCGACCTTGTTAATACTATATGTTACAGGCAGCAACTAAATTAAGGCAGAATAGAATCCACATATAGCAAAAGCACTAGATACAAACCCTCATATGGGTCACCCCACAACGATTCCTCCAGAATTGAAAACCAGTCACTTATGAAGTGCATGCCTCCTACAGCAAAATCGCCGGACTCGTGATATCTGTTTTTTTCTGCGATAGCTTTTCGCCCAGCTCAGCGGATTATAGTCGATGAGAGTTCATTGAAAGCAGAAACCGAAACGAAATAATCAGGAAACCTGAGGTGAAGTTCCATTGCGACTTAAGAATCGGTCAATATTCTGGGAGCTGGGAGGTGGGATATGTGAATGTGAACTTCTGAAAGATTTGGTTTTATTTCGTTTTATTTTGTTTTTCTTGATTTGTTATTTACGAACATTCTTTTTAGACACAAATACATATAATGTTATCTCCGCTCCTTCGTCTCTTTAAAAAACTACTACAAAAAATGGTTGTTGTTGTTGTTGTTTCCGTTGTGGTTGCTGTTAGCGCTTAAGAATCTACAACATATAGCTTACGATCTACAACATATAGCATTCTAGAGCATACATACTTATTAGGTATGTATGGTTAAATATCTATATATATATACATATATATGTGTATATATATATATATTCATATAAAAAAATACAACAAATTTGCAATTCGTTTTACATTCAGTTTCGTCGCCGTTCATTGTTATCATTTTTAATTCTTCTTGTTCCGGCCTGCGCCAAAAATGCAGACGAGAAGCAAAGATAGAAAAATTCACAAATATTTCCATTTAACATTTAGGTATGGCAAAAAGTCATCATCTATCAGTTAGCAATCATTATTGATATCAATCAATCATATTTAGAAGACATTCAATCTTCCACTGCTACGATTTTGTTTTTGAGTTCTTATTTGTTTTGTATTGTTTTCGCTTTTGTTTTGTTTGAAACGCATTTTACAAACTAATTTTAAAACTTATAAATACTACAACGTACGAGATCCGCCAAAATCTCATAGAATTTAAGCAAAATGAAACACACAAATTACAAGTTAAATAAGTTAAATTAGGAATTACAGATAAAGTATACAGTATAAAGAATACATCGAATTTATATATGTAAGAATATCTTAAAGACGCGACAGTTTTTGTGTGTGCTAGTAAGTGGATCGCTCAAATTCAATAGGGGAGAATGCAAACAGAAAGGTCGACATTTTTTCAACACGCTTACGGAGATTTTGGTGATATATAATGGTGACACAGGAGAACAAGGAAAAGCCACAAAAATACTCTTTCCCAAAACGCGGTCAAACGCTCAATAAATATTTACTCGAAAAAAATGCAAAGCAATTAGCTTCAGCTGGTTGGTCATTGGATATCAATTTCAAAGACAAAAATGTAATCAAAGCTGATGAATAATTATTTTGTTGGGAAAGAGTATTTCAGCAAAACGCATTAGTTTCGTATAGTTATATGCTTAATATCAGATGTGTAAAATAAAAATGAATCAGCGCTTTTCCCTATTGCAACGGTTCGTTATGTATGAGCAACTTTTTGTTTTTTTTTTCCTTTTTCTCTCCTTGTATAAATTAAGAAATGTTAAAAATTCAATTATTACATTTTCGATTGCACTTTGTTTTAGCTTGTTGCTGTTTTTTGTTTGTTTTTTTGTTTTGTTTTCTTTGTATGTGTGTGTGTAAAGTTCTTGAATTCATTTTTTCGTTTGTACATTTATTTTTCTTTGTTCCAACTGAGTGTATATGTGTTGTGTGTGTGTGTTTGTGTTTCTATAAAAATTAAGGCTTTGTTTTTGGACAAAAAAAATGACAAAAAATTGAAGGAAAATTAACGTTAACGTTAGCAACAATCAACTGATCACATCGAGTAAACGTACGTAGATTTTACTTAAAACTACTTTAAATCAGTTATAATATAACAACAAATATTAGAGCAAGGGGTGGGGCCCCAAAGCTGTTGCGGCTAGGCTATCAAAACCTTAACCTGATTTCGCAAACGTTTTGCAAGCGTGTGCCTCTTTGTTTCGTTTTTAGAATATTTACATGAACACGACAAAATGTGCTGAAGAAATGCAGAAAATTTCTTCACGATCCTACCCCGCCCCTTCAGACAACGCGCAGCGTAATAACAATATTTATAATGGATACGGGATAGGGCGTTGATACAACAACAGATAGCTTGACTTATCAATTATCACGCGAAATGCAGTATTACAAAAAAATATGTTTATATAAAATTAATCTTACTCGAATTGTTAATAAGATTACTCTTCCAATTAGAAAATTTCGTTCCTCTACACAGAGCTTCTAGCAAGCTATTAAACATGATCACCAAAAACGTTTTCCCCTTCGTTTTTTTTGTTTTTTGTTTTTCTTTTTGTTTCTGGAGCCGTCTAATTCTGGAGGGGAAGGCGAAGGACAGTTAAACTGCCAGCGCCATCCATCACACACAAAAAATAATCATGCACAGATATATATAGCCTATATATGCTGATGTACACAATCGGCGATGGCCGAAATAATAGCATTGCCATTGTAACACTTAGCAACGCGTGTTACTTTGGCTCTCATTACTCAATTTCGAAACTCGAGTAGCTAAAACAGCCAGTGTAGGAAATAGCGTTGTGACAAGGAGCCCTTTTTCAGATAAAAATATTATATTGGCAGTAAGGACTAAATTACTAATCTGAATACATGTTAGGGTAATCGAAAACGACTCTAACCACTATGAACTTGTTCTTATGAAAAAAACTAAATGAATGATACTGGCATATCAAGTTTTCGACTTTCGACAGAGCCTGCAGTGCTATTATTTGGACCGCAACCGGGTTTATATCTAGAGATAGAGAGAGTTAGGGCTTTAGAGCAAGCTAGAATTAGAGAGATAGATAGCTAGCCTGAGGTTGAGGGCTCGTTCAGCGGGCGATTTGAGGTGCGGCTCCTACTGCGATGTGCTGAAGTCGGAGGGCGAAATGGAGGCCGGAGCCGCCTCCGCCTCCAGGCTTCCGCATCCATCTACGTGGTCATGTTCACGGGACCGACTCGTGGGAATCGGCGCACTGCTGCCCATCATTGGCGGCAGCCTCAGCGTGGCTGCCTGCTCGTACTCCAGATCCATCTCCTCCTGCAATTGGATCATCTGCACTTGCTGCGGGTTTTTCTTCCAGTACAAGACGGGCCAGCGCAATGTCGTGGTCAGCGTGTCGTTGTGCTCCTCCAGCGAATTGTTGGCATAGTGCTCCACCAGGCTCTTCAGCGTGGAATATATGTTGTAAGGGGCAGAAAATCCAAAGCCGGTACTCGTCTCGTAAATAATGCAGTGCTGCACAATGTTGTTGCAGGCAATCGACAGAGCATAGTGACCCGCATCTCTCGCTCGAATCATGAAAGTGCCCGATGGCGCACCCTTCAGCATCTCCTCCGCATCCCTCCTCTTGGCATCCTTTAGCAACCAGAGGGCTTCGTTGCTGTGCGGCTGGTTGGAGACTGTCTCATAACGTTGCTGCCACTTGTCGAAGCCCATCTGCAATATCATCTTTAGATCGTCGTCCTTGAGGTTGAAGCTTTTTAGGCGCCTGCAGGTAAATAGTAAATAGGAAGGGATAATTTGAAAATTAGTAGCGCTCAAATACATAAATATTTCCGAGTGTGTTTGGCATTACAAGAGAAATTCGTCCAATACACGATAACCTGATTTACGGTCTTAAAGCCTGAATGCCTAACTAGTCCAGAAAGTCGTGTCTGTTCAGACTCAACACCTGTTGGATATATAATAATATATTCTGAGATATTACATGTTTTTAGACTTGAAGCTTACATCTCTCAAATAGTTCGTTTGAAAGCGAATCCGCAATTTTCGCATTTAAAGGAAACTCAAACTAATGCCTTTGGAGGCGTGGTGTACGTGACCTTATAGGCGAGGCTAGTCTGCATTAATTTCGCGTTACCCCTATGACGGGGGCTCTCAATCTTATCTTGGACATGGACTTATTTCTTCGAGGTAATAAAAATTATAAAATGGAATCTATGTAGGGAACTGAGCTTTTGCTAACAACTGACTTCGATGGCTAGTCGCTAAACTCGATTCGCTCTGATATCGATGCCTCACCAACCCCATGCAATTTCAACTGACGGCGAAACTCTTGATAACCAAATGCGACTGCGTGTTTCGGCCGCCACTCGGTCTACGAATGTCTAGACCCGCGGGTTTCCGCATCACGATCGGGCGATCAGGCAATCAGGCAATCAGGGGGTCTTTTTGTTTCCTTGCTATCCAAGTGACTAAGTTTCTGAGGCGCGATAGGCACAAGGCAGGGTGATATCATGGATCATTGCAGCGATAGAATCGAGATAGGACAACGCACAAAAACTTAATACACACGCTGCAAGACCTTTATCTTATCTGGGCTTGGTCAAGTGGCAGAGGGAGACACTCAGGGTGTTTTATCTTATGACGGTGGTCGCCTATCTCTGCAAATTTAGAGACACAAGAGCTAAAAACCTTGAGCCCAGCAAGAGATTGCAAAAAGCGGCCCTGAATTATATACAGACGCAATTAAGTATATAGAAGGAAAGGAGCTTGAAAAAAGTATATCTGATAAGCGCTGCTATCTTTAGCGGGGCGCTAACCTTATCTAGAGGCCTCCTTGCCTCCTCCCACTTGCCACTTCCCCAAGCTGTCACCCGCGCTGAAACACTCTAGGTGATACTCATAGAAACCGAGTAAGCCCATCCAACGATGACGTACCCCACCAAGTAAAAAGGCCTGTTGCTAGGCGAAAGACACCTCTTGCTATTCGTTTCTCGCCCTACAAACGAGCACCCGAAGATTGTGGGAAGATGGGTCAAGAGAAACGAACAAGTTTCGATAATCACGAAAAAACGAATGGGGGAGCATCCCCCATGTGGATAACTGGAGTCAAATGCAAAGGCTTTTGTTTGATTTTGCGAAGCAGATTACTCTTGAAGCCTAAGCAAGATTTCGGACACCATTATTTCTTACTGATTTTAGAGATCGGCGTAACAATCTTGTATATAAACAAATTATTGCTGTTGTAGTGAATTCAGCAGCATTGTGACCTTGATACACAAACATCTAGACATAACTATAGGGATACCCACGAAAGTCCCGATAAGGGGGTTTCTAAATATTTGAAAGAAATTCTTCAACGTTTTGGGTGAATTTCGAAAACTACAGCCATAGAAACTGACCTTGATACGGAGAAAAACATATAAACTGCTGTATATACAAATACAAATTGACCCTATAAAGACTTCGACTTGGATAACAAAGTCCAAGACTCGTCTATTTAGTAGTTTATAGACTAAGAAGAGGTATCCTAACGTTCCAGTTTGGATGGGTTATTATGAACGGCTGCGACCGCTGGCAAGGCACGTAGTCGCTTTGCTGGAGTGAAAAATTCAGGGGATGAGCGGGAGCGGAAGTGACCGCCGTTAACGTTAACAGTGTTATGCCATTATCGTATCGTATCGTACTTAGTCTAAAGCAGATTGCGTTTTTTAAAGGCATTACTATTGCTACTTAAGCATAGGTGGAGAGACTTACTCAATGTACTTGTCCTTGCGCAACTGCAGTATCTGCAGTTCCGGCTTAAGGGCATTGATCTGTCGCTCGAGCAGCAGCTCCTCCTTCTTCTTGTTCTCCATGTACTGGTTAAGGACTTGCAGCTTGGCCTGAAGAGCATCGAGCAGGTTGAGGAGTTTCTGCTTATTTTCCTGCAGGCTCCGGCGAGCGTTGGCATTGGCCGCGGCGGATGCAGCTGCGTTGCCTCCATCTCCGGCTCCTGCAGCCTCCGGGGTCGGGCCATCCGCTGGCGCCTTCATGAAGGATTCATTGAGCTTGATTTGATTACGGAATACCTTCTCTGTATTCCCGAATACGCTCTGGTGCAGCTTCTTCTCCTGCAGCTCCTCCCGAATCGCATTGAAGGAGTTGCGCTTCTGCTCGAGATTTTGCTCCAGATTCTGGAGCAACTGGCAGGTCCGGATGAATTCGTTGCTCAGCAAACATAGATCCCCGTGCGGCTGTGACTCTTCATCCTCGCGGGCGCGCAAAATCGGATTACTCAGCGTTATGTCCAGCGTCTTGTTGTACATGCTCAGCGAGTTCTCCTTGTAGTAGTTGATCATCTCAACCACCGAATTAAAGAGATTCGTTTCGATAAACCCGTACTTGTGATCCATGTGGCATATCTTTATGAGCTTCTCGATGCCGTCCTTCATCAGGGTGAGAGTGTACTCGCCCTTCATCGAGAGGGCGTCCCGCACCAGGAAGCTGCCGTCCGGCTTTCCGTTCAGAATGCTCTTGGCCTCCTCCCGCGATATCCGCCCCCAGTACCAAGGGGCCATGCGTAGCTCATCCTCGTTGGGATCGACCAGCGATCCGGGGGCCTGTGGCCGCATCGTCGAGTAGTGGAGCGGAGAGGGTTGCACTGCAAAAAAGTTAATTAAAAGGTTTGAAAAATTTAATTAAAAGATTGATAGAAGTTCCATCAAATATTTCATGTAATTTCCCCATTTTGTATGTATGCTATTTTATGTACATTTTAACCAAGAGTCGATTTTTAGTAAACAATGATTTCACTTTACAAATTTCCTTTCCTAACAACTCATCCTATTGAAACAATTGATAATCGCACTTAACGAAATAAAGTTGCTTGGTAAAACATGCTACGTTATTATTAATTAAATTATGAAAACAAATGAATAACTGGCAGTTTCTCAAGCTAATAAATTACACAGAAAGTTAAGAGTATCTACATAGAGTGATCTCATCCGATTGTCCAAATCCTAAAACGACATTGTATCAAGGCATCTAATAACTCTAATTCGGAACATAAACATCTGCAAAAGGAGAATCTTGAGTGAAATCGAAGTCTTGGCAATGAGCCTTTTTTCCCTTATTTGAGGGCCCCGATTGCTTCCCAATCCATTAATAAATATTGGCCACATATTGCGCCCCAGCAGAGCAAAAACAACAACTCTGTGTAAAAACGAGGCATGTAATCGCTGGCGTCCCGGTCTCTATCTAGCCCTCTCGCTCCCGGCCCCAGGCACCCCGCTAGCGCCCTCTCGCTCCAACGCACTCGGGCCTGTTGCCAAGCGCCCCCGAAACGCAAATACTTACTTTTGTGGGTCTTGTGGGGTTTTCAATGGGTCGGAATTCTTGCGCTGTGGATGCTGCAGCGGCGAAGGAATCAATGGATATGGATCTGGATCTGGGTCTGGATTTCGGGCTGCGGACTACTCGCTCCCCGTTCGCGATATAGCTATAGCTATAGCTCACCAACAGCGAATGGAGCACATCTTTCTATATTCTCGATTTCGCGATTCGACGGAACACTCACACTAGCAGCCGCACGCACACACGCACCCACACCAACGCACAACACGGACACTGCGACACACTGTTTAACAAAATGGTTGGCTTTTGATTTGTATTTTCGTGATTCTTAAGCACTTATTGGTTCTTCTAATCGGCGTGCAAGTTTTTCAACTGTAGCTGGACTAAAACATTTTCGTACAGCGCTCTTGGACGACAAAAATTGGGGTTTAATCACAATATATCAGCACACCATTATATTCGGGTAGAAATCGTGCGGTGTTGGACAGCGCTGTTGTTGCCATGCCACTTGCTGCGAGTGAGCTGCGGGGCCTTCCTAACACTGGCGGTTTCCTGTGTTGACCAAGTCGGAACAACGTAACGGTTGCAACTAATAACGTAGCGCAGGGAACAGGGCTGCCGAAGATCGACCATAAAATACTTTATATACACATCAAAAATTTTATACAAATAAATTACAAAAAGTTTAAGCAATTAGTTACATTCAAACAATCCAAGTTCACAATTCAATTCATTTGAAATTTAAATTTCAAAATACCAATTTTTAATGTATACTTTCTTTGCGAAAAGTGTACGGCTTTGTAATACTGGAATTAATATAAATATAATATAATAATTTTTGCCGAATATCGTTGTTTGGTTTAAAGAAGTGAGACTTTTAAGTTAACCGAATATTCCAAATAATTTAGCAGCCCTGGAAAAACGTTAGAAAACGACTGCTAAGCGTAACGTATCCGCCTTAGGCGGCAGATTCAAAATCATAGCTTACCATTCCGTGACTCATTTATTGTACAGAAACTTATTTTAGAGCTAAGCTACAGCATATTTATTGTAGTAAGAAAATAAGGACCATGACGTTTGGAGCCTACTTCACTCATCTGCGTAAATCAATTAGGCAGACGTTTATCAATTACTTTGTTTCCTCCATTTAGTTTAAATTTCTTTTAGTGGTAGTTATCGTCGTTCTGCGTATAGGCAATGCTATCTCTTAAGTAATTACGTTTAGCGTTAATTGTGGCCCGTTTCATCAAAAACGATATATTGGTTAACCAGCTTAGAGGTGCCATACATTTTGTTTAATGCGTAATGGTTGCCTCCTGAATGTTTATCAATGGGGTTTGTGTGTGAGTTAGTGAATGTATGAGGAAGTTTCTGGATTTGGAGTGCCTAGTGTATCTGAATGATGCCCGACTCCAGCAGTTTCATTATCTTATCGGCGATGGCTGGATTCTGCAAGTGTCTGAAAAATAAAGGTTGTTAATTAAAAAGAATGCTTTTTTTTAATTAGGATTACTTCCCCCATAGAACCCAAAAAAGTGAATCGAGTTACGGGTGTCTTGAAATCCCCAAGTAATGGCAAGATACTTACTCTTTAACCGCATTGGGATCGTTCTGCATCTGCTCGAGGATCATACGCATAGCCGGGTCCTTTAGAATCTGTTGAATCTCCGGGTCGGACATGGCGTTCTTCAGGACCTCCTGCGGATTGCGCTGGAAGTTCATCGAGCACTGACGGTAGCCTTCGATGGCCTCTGCGTTGTTGGGGTCCAGTTCCAAGGCCTTTTGGTAAGCGGCCTGCGCCTTAGATTGTTGCTGCATGCCCTGTAGGATTTTGCCCTTGCGGATGTAGCCCTTTATGAACTTCTCATCTAGCTTGATGCAAGTGTCGCAGTCCTTGAGGCCCAGGTCAAAAGCCGCCAACTTGGTGTAGCAGGCGGCGCGGTTACTGTACAGTTTGGGATCATCCGGATTGCGCTTGATGGCCTCGGTGTAGTGCTTTACAGCGGTGCTGTAGTCCCCCTTCTTAAAGAAGAGGTTGCCCTGCTCCTTCTCTTCCTCGGCCTTCTCCGGATTGATGTAGGCCATTCGCTCCTCCTCCTTGATTTTGGCCTCCACCTCGCTCAGCGAGGTCTTGATCTCAGGGGTGCGATGCTCGGACATGGCCTTCTCATAGTAAACCTTCGCCTGTTTGTAGTTCTCTAGCTTACGATAGGTGTTTCCGATGCGGGCAAAGGACTTAGCTATCAGCTTGAAGTCGGCGCGGCTTTCGCGCCCCACCTCAATGCCCTTCTCGCACTGCTTGATGCACTCCTCGTACTCCTTGCGCTCAAAGTGAACAGCAGCTATGTTATTGTAGAACGTGATATCCGTTGGATCGTGTTCAATGGCAGCGTTGTAGTGTTTTAGAGCCGTTTCGAACTCCTTTTTCTTGTAGGCGGCGTTGCCCAGTTCCTTCTCCTTCTTCGCAAAGTACTTATTCTTCTGCTCCTCAGTCATGTCTTCCACCCGAGGTTCAGCAGGCTTTGGAGGCTCAGCCGGTTTCGCCGGCGGTGGCGATGGAGCCCTGCGGCTGCGCGCCTGCTGGGGATCTACGTCCATGGGTATATCCCCTTGCGATTGCATAAAGTTCAGAGCCGAGGCAGTAATTTCCATGCGGCCCTGCAGGAGTACAGCATTCGTGGGATCGTACTTCAGACCTGCGCCGGTAACCGATGTTAGTGAGGTTAGGTCGGGTGATTCATGGCATATAACCGAGTTGTGTTTGAACTTACCCTCGTTATACGCTTCGAAGGCCTTCATAAAGTCACTTAGACCCGCAGCGGCAGCTCCTTTGCGAGAGTAACCCTTCGGCCAGGTGGGATTTAGCTGAATGGTCTTCTCCGCATCCTCTAGCGCCTCCTGGAACTTTCCGGCCTTGGCAAATGCCGCAGAACGGTTGCTGTAGAGCACATGGTTCTGGCCGTCCAGCGCGATGGCCTCTGTGTACGCCGCCACCGCCTCGTCGAACTTCTCGGCACTGAGCGCCTGGTTACCCTTTTCCTTGAGTTCGTTCACCTAAGAAAACCGCAAGGGTTTTGGATTGAAATTGCCGACGCCTTTTCTTTGTCTCGCACGCTTACCTTGTCCATTTCTGATAAGGGAGAGGATGACGCTGTCCAATTACAATTTTTCCTGTATTATTGTACAATTGTTTAATGAAACACGCTGCGAATTGTGCCGTGCAAGGTGAAAATGCGAAAAATGCCGACTTTTCTAGAAGCAATCGATAGGGTTGTCAGTGCAACTGCGATTTAATTGAATCTCTATGCAGGCTATGGTTTAGAACTCGTCTCTTTTTCAAGCGGGGAACCAAACCAGCAACCTTCAGGTTTCTTTGTTTAAATTATTTCTAAATTGTTTTTCAGAATTTAAAAATTTATTTGGTCAATACAAAAATAAAACCTCGATCTTTTGAGAATTAAGTTCTTATTGTAAGCCATGTGCTTAATATTATTGTTGTTGTAAATTAAAAAATTGGTTTAGTCAAGTAGAAAATAAAACCTCGAACTTTTGAAAATTCTAATTTTACTGTAACAGGGGCCATTTGTTTAATATTTAAATTAAAACGTATTCGGATGATGGAATCTCCTGAAAATAATGTTTTAAAACATTTCTTAAAACATATAAATTAATTAAGTGGTAGCAAATATCGATGCTAAAAAAAAAACATATCGATATCATCAAGTAGTCATAGATTTTTGTTCCAACTCTAGACTCGAAGCTGGCAACGCCGTGCAGAATACGACCAGACGCTGCTTTTTTCGTGCGGCTTCCGAAAATAATTGAAATTTAGCACAAAGTAAACAGGCCGCTAACGTAATTACAGTTGGACCGCGTAGCAGAGGCAAGCGGGTAGCGAAGTTACACATTTTGGCCACAGCAACTCCACAGTAAAGCCGCCAATATGGCCGAGTACTTGGCATCCATTTTCGGCACGGAAAAGGACAAGTGAGTCGCATGGCACATTTATTTTGACGTTCCCGGTGTTAATAATTAAATGGTGTTGCATTTACCAGGGTGAACTGTTCGTTCTACTTCAAGATCGGAGCCTGCCGCCACGGCGACCGATGCTCGCGCATCCACAACAAACCCACTTTCTCGCAGACGGTGCTGCTCCAAAATCTGTACGTGAACCCGCAAAACTCGGCCAAATCCGCGGATGGCTCCCATCTGGTGGCGAACGTCTCCGACGAGGAGATGCAAGAGCACTACGACAACTTTTTCGAGGACGTGTTCGTAGAGTGCGAGGACAAGTACGGGGAAATCGAGGAGATGAACGTATGCGACAACCTAGGCGACCATCTGGTCGGCAACGTCTACATCAAATTCCGCAACGAGGCTGATGCGGAAAAGGCCGCAAATGATTTGAACAACCGGTGGTTCGGTGGTCGACCGGTCTACTCGGAACTATCGCCGGTTACCGATTTCCGCGAGGCGTGCTGTCGGCAGTACGAGATGGGCGAGTGTACCCGCTCCGGCTTCTGCAACTTCATGCACTTAAAGCCCATCTCGCGTGAGCTGCGAAGGTACCTCTACTCCCGCCGCCGTCGTGCCCGCTCCCGTTCCCGATCCCCTGGACGCCGTCGCGGCTCCCGCAGTAGGTCCCGGTCCCCGGGTCGAAGAGGAGGAGGCAGAGGCGACGGTGTCGGCGGAGGAAACTACTTGAACAATGAGCGGGACAACATGCGTGGCAATGATCGCGGAAACGATCGCGATCGTCGCAAAGGTGGTGGCGGCGGAGGAGGCGGTGGGGGTGGAGGTGGACGGTATTAAATATTCTGGACATTTTTTCAGTACAGTGGGAATTGAGAGAGAAAGCAACGGACAAGCAGTAACGCAAAGCATCGTGTATTTTATTCTCTGCGTTGGTTTTCCACGTTTTTATATCACTTTGGAGTAGATGAGATGAGGAGGAAATGATGATGGGGAGTTCCACCACCACCAATGTACAAACCCCCCGCGAAATACTTTACCGAGCGCCCATTAGAATTGTAATTTACTATACATACATTCGTAATAATAAAATTGAGTAATACTATATCTACACAGAGGAATCGCAAAAGCCAGAGTATCGCATAAGGTTCCGAAAAATTGGGTATAATTGTCAAAAAGTCGAGGTACGAAAAATAAAAGATAGAAACAAATAAAATAGAATGGATAATATTTAGAAGGTGATGCCCCTTGAGGGGCCTGCAGTCTTATTTCGCAAATTTGTCTTACCAAATTATTTTAACTATATTGATACCGCTGTCAACTACAGAATCGGTTTTAAGCGAAATCTTTCATCGAAAGTAACTATTTAAATCTTTAAAAATGTATGCATTTCAACAACGAAATCCTTCTTTTTACCCGAGTTTCTCTTAGTCTTTAATAGGTGTATAGTTAAGGGCATGTTTGTGTTTAAGCTATGTCGGTTGGCGGGCTCCCATCTCGATTAGTCGTTCCAGCCTGAGAAACGCCTCTGAATGCCTCGCCTTCATTTAGCACCGCTGACTTCTCCGCTTGAAGATTACTTTGCGTGTGATTCGTCGATGGAGGCTCGGGCTTATCGGAGGAGATGCTCGACGGCTCCCTGGCCTTCAGTTGTTTGGTGATGTCTATTTGCTGCTGCAGCGCGTAGGTATTCTCGTGCTTCCGCCGTTGCTGCTGCTCAACATCCCTCAGGACACCATCATGGAGTCTCAGGCTGGAGGTTGAGGAACAGAGGCTATACTTTCATTCCGGAGTATTTGGCGCACTTACCGGTCTGCCGATTGTTTATAGTGCACATAACCTATGATCGCTGTGGAAATGGAGACCGCCAGGCCCAAAGTCACTCGGGAAGCGGTCGACATGACTGAGGTAGCGGTACCGGTCTGCAGCTGGAAGAGCGGTCTGCGGAAAATGCCTGCACTGGGAATTTGGCTGTCGGGTTGTATTGTTTCTGAGTCGATCCGGGTTACGACATGACTTTAAATTTGATAGAAAAACACCAGCACCATACAGCTGGCAAGAGAGAGTGGCCAGTTTACGGAAACAAGGTTTTCCCTATCCAAAGTTAGTGCGCGGGAAAATCAAATTATCAAAAATCAAAATCACGCAACACTTTTGTGGGGGAACAGCCAGCTGCAGTTGGAAAATCTCAGGTTATTGAAAACCTTATCCCTTAAAGATATAGACGAATATATAGTTTCAATGTGATGTATATAACAGCAATTCCGGTATCTTGTATCTTCGTACTACATAGCTTCTAGCCTTATCAATTACTTTCTTTTAGTTTTTTTAATATCTTTATCTACTGCTTTGACGCAGTGCCATGTACTTTCTGAAAATAGAACCAGATGCTTACCTCCCTGCAAAGATATCACCTAGTTATGACTGCATTATTTCGACTCATCTGGTTACTCACTAAACAACACACATCTCAATGGGTGGGGGCGATTCATTCAGGTGATTGGCCATCATTAACGCATAAAAGGAGCTCCCACTCCCGAATCCGGAATGCGAAACCCGGGGTCCGTGTTCCGTGGTCGGTGGTCCGGACATGCGCAGCACGCACCTGATGCGAACGACTGGAGGAACGACACCACAAAACCGAGGCAGAAGCAGAAACAGAAGCAACAGCCAAGTACAATGGAAACGAGTACAAAAGGCAGGAGGCAACACGGCGTATGGGCTATGGGCAACAGTGCGACTCCAGTTTTCCATACGCTCAGTTGTGCCCGCGGTCAAGGGAAAATCGCAGCCGAGCACTTCCTCCGAGCGAAGCCAAAAAGAAATCAGGAAAATACTTAGCGTGCGTGTGCCGGAGACCTGGTGATTTGTTTAGAGTGTGGAAATCAAGTTTAAAAGCAATCAACAATTGTTATTAAGGGCCATAAAAACCATCAAATTATTACCATAACCGATTTATAAACAAGCGCTACGGGGACCTACTTTCAGGGCAGCTAAGACTATCAAAATTTCTTCGAGGAATATCTGGCTAAGTTTGGGGGGCTTAAATATTTATGTCGGTGACGCAAATATTGATTTAAATTTGTGCGCGCTTTGAGTTGACGAACGCGAGGTGTCTTGACTCAAGAGCCCAAAACACCTTGACAACGATTTTAATGCACTTCTTTCGCCACGGCACTGCACAGAGAAAAACAATACAAATTCTTGGCTAAAATGTTCATTTCTGCAAATTAAGAAACATTTCATTTGCATTCGTCAAGGGACAGTTATTCACAATTATTTTAGACCTTTAAAGGATCATATCACTTTCGAGACAAATCACGAGAACGTAACGAATTATAACTTGACCAACAGTTTGCGTAATTTTTCTGTCCGTGTAATGTGAGTCTGCTCTGGCTTTTTCTGTGTAGGATCTGTGAAAAATCTACAAGATGACCAAAGTTGAGCTTTACAAGTCGCGCGTCTTTGTGACAATCATACACCTGTGTGCACTCGGCCAATTTGCCTATGGGCTCTACTACAGCTCCTTCGAGATCCAAAGGAGCTACAAACTAAAGACGAGCCCTAATCGCCGTCTGGTCCCGGAATCGCTGCCCCAGAAAATCAAATTGCTGTCTTACTGGTCGCTGGTGAGTTAATTTACGGTGTGTCCATCGAAAGCGCCACAAAGATATATGTATACATATGTACTACATATATGTATGATAAATTATGGGAAATTAAAAAACAAGACGGAAATGCGGCCAGCATCGGTTGTTTCAAGTGTTGAGCTCGAGACGTGAAAAATCAGCGAAGGAAAAATTATTTTTCCTCCATGCCCGTATGCCGATGTTCGCGTTTATGTGTGCCATATGTTTGTTTATTTGTTTGTCTGCTCGTTGGGGATCGAACCGTCCCCTTTCCCCTCCGATTTTTTCGTACTTGCACGCTTTTTATCGGCCTGGCGGGGTCAGCTACTGTGGAATACAGAGGAGTATCCGACAGATACGAGAGCTATGCTCGCCGAGTTTCCTCATGAGCGCTGCACTTTTCCCTGATGGCATTGCACATTCCGCGTGGGCAATCACTTTTCGCCTTTTTCTCGCCTCAAGTGCGGTATTTATTTGCTCAGATGTTCGCGGTTTTCCAGATTTTCGATTTCGCTTCTTGCTCCCACTGGGAGCAGTGGCCAAAAATGTATGAATCTGACGAATGCAAGATTATCTGATGAGCGCCAATGTAAATGTGCCATACGTGGCAGTTGGCTTCGATTTGGTGTTCGGCGCTTCTGACGCCTCATTTACATATCGTTAAAATTGTTAGAAAATCGATGGATTATTGCATTTTCTCGCAGCTCCTTGGCAACAGGCACAAGCAAATATTTCAAAGCGAATTTCATCTACGAATGGGTAAATAAATATGTCTTGAATTTCGGCCGGCACTCTGGAAATAGTTCTACATACTTGTTTTCATGTATTTATATTTGAAGTTTTATCTTAGATAATTTTAAAATTAAAACTTTTAAAGGGGTCTTAAAATATCAATAAATTTATCTCAACTTGACATTATTATCTCCACAATTTTCTTTTTTTAAGATATGACCCAGAAATGAAGATCGTTTTTGCATTAATTGCAATTATTCATAAGAATGAATGGTGCTCTTTTTGAGACGATGTTTTCTTACTTATTTCCACACCACAACATTCAATTTCCGTGCGGCTTTTAAGGAACATTTTATTTTGTTATTCCATGACCTTGCTTGCCCTTGATTAACGCCGTCTGTCCCGCCCCAAGTACTTTGATCTGGTTAGCATAAAGTGCTTTATATCTACAGATCTTTTTCTTTTATGTAGTCCCTTGAAACGATCACGAGAATGTTTCGGTGCCATTACCATCCGGTTCATTATTTTTGTTCTCGGTTTTTTACCTTTTTCTGGTCTTCTGGGCAATTCACGAATCGGGTGTACTGAAATTGTTTATATCGGCGCAATCAAAATAAAAATAAACTAACTATTTTCTGACAAACAATTGTTTAAGCAAACGTGAAATTCTTACTCTTCGATTGTGAACAATTTATTAGTGAAATATATTTAAAGGAAGATTTATTAGGCGCGCCATCTTTAGGTCTTGATGACCTAATAGAAATTGTGAAAAAAAGTGATAGAGTGGTAGATCGACTACAGGACTTATAAAAAAGTGCAAAAATATCACCAAATTTTTTAAAAATTACATTTTAAAATCCAATTAAGATAGGTTGAGATATGCACTTTAGAACTTCAGTCCTGGGACATTTTTGAGTTTCTACAAGATCAAAACATCAAAAAATTACAAAAAAAAAAAAAATTCTAAATTTGAATGCAGATTTTTAGAGAATTGCTCCAGAAACATGTAGAGGTATGCCACTTTAAATTCCCATTAAGATTAGTTGAGTTATGGACTTTAGAACTTTAGTCTTAGGACATTTTTGAGTTTCTACAACATCAAAGCATCAGAAAAATTACAAAAAAAAACCAAAAAAAAATAAAATTCTAAATTTGAATGCAGTTTTTTAGAGAATTTCTCCAGAAACATGTAGAGGTATGCCACTTTAAATTCCGATTAAGATTAGTTGAGTTATGGACTTTAGAACTTCAGCCTTGGGACATTTTTGATTTTCTACAATATCATCACATCAGAAAAATTACAAAAAAATTTTGAAAAAATAAAATTCTAAATTTGAATGCAGATATTTAGAGAATTGCTCCAGAAACATTTAGAGGTATGCCACTTCAAATTCCGATTAAGATAAGTTGAGTTATGGACTTTAGAACTTTAGTCTTAGGACATTTTTGAGTTTCTACAACATCAAAACATCAGAAAAATTAAAAAAAAATTTTGAAAAAATAAAATTCTAAATTTGAATGCAGATTTTTAGAGAATTGCTCCAGAAACATTTAGAGGTATGCCACTTCAAATTCCGATTAAGATAAGTTGAGTTATGGACTTCAGAACTTTAGTCGTAGGACATTTTTGAGTTTCTACAACATCAAAACATCAGAAAAATTACAAAAAAACCAAAAAAAAATAAAATTCTAAATTTGAATGCAGTTTTTTAGAGAATTTCTCCAGAAACATGTAGAGGTATGCCACTTTAAATTCCGATTAAGATTAGTTGAGTTATGGACTTTAGAACTTCAGCCTTGGGACATTTTTGATTTTCTACAATATCATCACATCAGAAAAATTACAAAAAAATTTTGAAAAAATAAAATTCTAAATTTGAATGCAGATATTTAGAGAATTGCTCCAGAAACATTTAGAGGTATGCCACTTCAAATTCCGATTAAGATAAGTTGAGTTATGGACTTTAGAACTTTAGTCTTAGGACATTTTTGAGTTTCTACAACATCAAAACATCAGAAAAATTACAAAAAAAAACCAAAAAAAAATAAAATTCTAAATTTGAATGCAGTTTTATAGAGAATTTCTCCAGAAACATTTAGAGGTATGCCACTTCAAATTCCGATTAAGATAAGTTGAGTTATGGACTTTAGAACTTTAGTCGTAGGACATTTTTGAGTTTCTACAACATCAAAACATCAGAAAAATTACAAAAAAACCAAAAAAAAATAAAATTCGAAATTTTAATGCGGTTTTTTAGAGAATTTCTTCAGAAACATGTAGAGGTATGCCACTTTAAATTCCGATTAAGATTAGTTGAGTTATGGACTTTAGAACTTCAGCCTTGGGACATTTTTGATTTTCTACAATATCATCACATCAGAAAAATTACAAAAAAATTTTGAAAAAATAAAATTCTAAATTTGAATGCAGATATTTAGAGAATTGCTCCAGAAACATTTAGAGGTATGCCACTTCAAATTCCGATTAAGATAAGTTGAGTTATGGACTTTAGAACTTTAGTCTTAGGACATTTTTGAGTTTCTACAACATCAAAACATCAGAAAAATTACAAAAAAATTTTGAAAAAATAAAATTCTAAATTTGAATGCAGATATTTAGAGAATTGCTCCAGAAACATTTAGAGGTATGCCACTTCAAATTCCGATTAAGAAAAGTTGAGTTATGGACTTTAGAACTTTAGTCTTAGGACATTTTTGAGTTTCTACAACATCATCACATC